ACTTCAACTTAGCAATTATAGCCAACTGCTAATGTGTAGGATCTGAATTATTGCTGCTTTTGATACTGCTATTCTGTGTTTAATTCTAGTTTTGTTTGTAGGTAAAGAGGCGAAGAACATAGTCTTTCTGTCAGATATACCCAGTCATGCATGGTTTGAGTGCTTCTAGAAAAAATACTATTAAATAAGTTTCAACCTGCAGCTTTGTTCTTGATTTGTTTACCTATGCCTATCTGTATCTCCTCAATTTTTCTTTGTTGCCCTTATAGCTGCGACAACTTCTGTTCAATAAATTGTCTCCCTTAAATTCTTGGAAGCAAACAGCAAAGGTAATTATTATCTCCTAATCTCCTACTGCCGTGAGTCGGATGCACGAAGTTCCAGTTTTGCATTTCTCTCTTTAGAGGGTCTCGGAGCAGGCCCCCTCCTGTGCAAACCCCTGAGTTTCTGCCATCATTACATTCCCAGTATCTGGCATGAGGCCTGGCGCACGGCCATGGCTCAGTAAAGAGTCAGTGAGTGAGGGAATGAAGGTGAAGCCTGGGAACTCATCGGGATGCTCAAGCACAGAGGTCCGTGCGTGCCTGCTGGGGAAACGCCTCTGAACGACATCACTGGTGTTAGTCTGACTTGCTTGCCAAGGTCTAGCATTAGCAAGGTGCCTTTCTGCAGCCAACTTTCTGGACCTTCTGAGGACTGTTTTTCCTTCTTTAGAAAAATAAAGGTGGGAGGATCTTGATTGATGTCTCCTATGTAAGTTTGATCAACTTCTATGATACAAAGTGCTGTCTCTGAATGTTCTCTCTTAGGAGCGTATCCCTAATTCTGTCCATAGCAATTTGAGCTCTAGAGTCTACAAACTGACTAGTTTATGTGAAAATGGAGGATGCCTCTTTCATTCCTTGCCACAAAAGGACAATCCCTATGAGGACAGTACATGCACGCACAGTTTGTATTTTCTGTGTTAATCCTTTCTGGGAGGCACTGAGGACCTTTCAGAAAGGATTCTAAAGCAGAGATTTCTCTGTTGGATAAAAATCAACTGACTTAGCTGGGCGTGAACCTATATTGGCATTTAGGTTATGATATAATCTTGTGAAATAAAAATCAATGAGGACACTATCCTCTGGCGTTGAAGAATCTTCCTTGGTCTGCATTTCATAGTAGAGGGCTCTGCTGTGAATTGGGGCACCCATGAGCCCGCAGACCTGCTTTGTATTTCTGATTCCATGAGTCATTTACTGTGTGATCTTAAAAAAGTCACTTAGTCTCTTTCAATTTCCTTTTCATCAGCTATAAAAATTAAGTGTTGGACTAATTACACAAAGCAAGAAGCTTGAACATTCTCAGAATTGCATTTTATATCCTGAAGAACTAAAAGTCTCTTGAACCAGCACTTGTGAAGCTGGTGGAGTCACTGCCTACTCCTAAGCAAAGCAGGGGTTACAGCACATCACGTGTGGCTACATCAAAGAAAAGCCCGGAGTGAATAGAAAGAGACAGGACACTCCCCTCCCTGCAAAGCAGGAAATCAGAACTTTTCTTATTTGAAAACAAAAGAGAGAAAAACACCCCAAAATAAAATCAAAGCAAAAGCAGAAATGCCTGACGGTGTTTCTCCCTGAAACAGTGCCTCAAAGTGCTGGCACTCCCCAGAAGGCAGCGGGGGGTCAGTGAGGGCTTTGCTGCTTCTGGACTTGTACCCTCTCCCCAGTTTTGTTGCCAAGGTGGGTGATAAAAATGAGATTTTGTTGTCTGGCCAGGTAGCTTCTTTGCTTTAAAATAAATATATATATTGCAGAGGAAAATAGGAGTATTTATAATTTTCTGAGAGAGTTTGAATGAAATAGTAGGAGCCTAGATTATAGATGACAAGAAGGAGGTGGTGGAAGGAGGGGTGTGGGGGAGAGAGAGAATGTTCAGTGTCAAGAATCTCATTTGTGTGTGAAAAGAGAGCAAGGGCGGTAACCAGATGCAGACCCAGGACCAGTAGTTATAGGCTGGAGTTGAAGTTGCCAGGAGGTGACAAGTTCATGTGCAGGGAGGGATGGGCCGGCAAGGAGAGTCTGAAAACAAGTGAGAGAAGGAGCACAAGGGACAGAAAAGGGTTCCTGGAAAGACAGGTTGAGATGTTGGACTGAAGGCGGCAGGATTAGCTTCCCTCTCTCTCTCTCTCTCTCTTCCTCCTGCCCTCCCTCAACACAGAAAGTACCAGACTGAAGCAGAAGAAGTAATATAGTAATATATGCAGATGGGGGTCATGATGTTGAGAGATCAGACCTTAATATCACCCCCTTTTTAGGAGGAGGCTAGGCTATCCACTGAGAGATGGCAAAGGGGAGGTAAAAAGAGCAGTGAGAACACATGGTGAGCTGCAGGGGATGCATGAGACAGGAATCTAGCACTAGTCTCAGCAAAGACACCCTCAAGTCATCAGAACACTGTGGGGACCCCAAGTCTTCTTCAAGCTGTGGACTCAGGACCCTTTCTTAAGTCTCATTCATCCCTAGCCATGTTCTCTATAACTCTTTCCCAAGAGGCAGACTCAGGTGGCTTCTGCAACATCCGCAGAACAGATTTACAGAGTTTTATAGAGCCATGTCTCAGTTCCAATGACTCAGGGCTTATTACTGGCAAACTGCTTAGACCCATACACCTTCCCGGACCACATAGAGTTCCTGAGGGTGTTGCACTCCGAGATTCCTCTCTCCAAATGGGCAGGATACAGTTTTTAAATGCAATGCTCTGACTTTAGGATTTTATTTTAAGGTTATCACATTATGTGTTTGTTGAGTCTTGAATTCCAGAAAATAAATTCGTTGGCTTTTAAATTGAAAAGCCTTTTTATTCCTATCTCTGTAACTTTTCATTTTTCCAAACTCAGTGTGGGGTAGCCACTGAGTGAAACATGGGCTCTGGGTACCACACAACAAGAACCTGTTTCTCCCATCTGGGTTTGGCTCCCTCCCAACACAGACTAGAGCAGAAATGGAACTTATTTCTTCTGATATTTCCAGTGTCTGGTTCACAAAGGCACTTAATATGAGATGTGAAGTTAATGAATAAATGCAAGATAAATTAATGAGCAGAAAAGGAAATACTGTATCTGAACACATGTATGTTTCCCAATAAGTATATGCTCTTTGTTTTAAATATTTTATTTCAATTTGATAATTCAGTTGTTAAATTTTTGAACTCTATATAGCCTCTGCTCCAGTGACCAAAGGATTATTCCCAGAGAGATATGCATGCTAAAAGGGGCAAGTATAAGTCAGAGATTTACTGGAGACCGATTTTAGCAGGACTATTCTTTTTCCTTCATGGGTGTCTCTTTTAGTGACAAAACCCTGAAAATTTAAGCATGAACATGAAGAGGGATATCTTCTTTATGACCATTTTCTAGTTTGTTGTCATAAGATGTAAAAATACTCAGGAACACAAAGTTCACTTGGAAATCTATTTAAAATAGATTAAAGCAGAAGAAAGAGTGAGGAAGTGTTGTGAGCCAGCGTGGGGAGGAGGAGCAAACCAGAGTGGAATTGGTGGGGACGGAGAAAAATAAAGCACAAGAGAAGACACAGAGACGAGAGATGGGATCGGGAGGTCTGACTGAGCTGATGGAGCAGCCAGCCCAAAGCACAAAATCAGCTTTATTTTATAGGATCTCGACAGGGTTCTCTACAGGGAAGTAGCATAGACAATAAGGGGAAGGCCAAAAAAGACATGTTTTTGGACTTGAATACAGAAAAATCATCTTGTTAATGATTTCTACTCAACTTCGTTAACATACGATAAGAAGTAAGAAGGGAAAGATTCCAAGGATTTCTGCATAGTTCTTAAAAATTAACTAGACAAAGAAAGAGCTATGTGACTTCTGGCAGGGAGCATGAAGAAAGGTATATGGTTATTTTGGAAAAGGATAAGCAGCAGTTGGGGGTTCAGTCCCTGAATGTTCCCCAGGCTATGGGGTCCCTGCTGCCTCACATCCCGCTCTCCACCAGGAAGCCATGAGTCTTTGTCCTTGAAAAGGGAATATCACACTATGTAGATGGAATAAAGGGTCATTAATAACACCAAGAAGTCAGAAAATGCAGACTGAAAGAATAGTATTATACCAATAATAGTAACACAATAAAAGATACGATTAATGTTCAAATAACTTGTTTTTCTTTTGTGCAGCAAAACTCAGATTTATCTCCCAAGCCCAAATTCTCAAAGCCTTCCAACCTGCTGCAAAACAAAGGTGAGTTACAATAAAACTAAAGGTTATAAAAGGTGTGAAGAGAGAATATAAATACATTGTGTGAGGAAAATTTAATGGCAGCATTTTAGAAATTCATGTAGGAAGTGTGAGTGTTATCTATGGCCATGTGTGTAAGAGTTTAACTGGGTTGTGCTCAGGGTTGATAGAACAATGACAGGGATTTGATGCTCATGGAGACCAGAGGGTGTCATTATGTAATTTCACCACAAATTATCCCCATGTCCTCAATTAGATATTATATAAATCAGTAACATTAATTATTGAAGCCAGGGGTTAAGATGTGTGGTCACTTTAACACCAATTTTGTCCTTGCTGGAGAATCACCGCTCTATGCCGGCCACTGAGCAGCAGGCTTGGGGCCACATGTTTATGTCCCAGTGCTGCACATACCCTCCCCTGAAGACCCACAGGGAGGAGGGAGCCACACCTGCCGCTGGGGGAAAAGCTCAGTCTCCTCTGCCTATGACACATGTTGGCCCTATGCAAATATTGGCAGTTACTAAAGACTATGATTTTCATAGATGAATTGACTAGCATTAAACATTGCAAATAGTCACAGTATTCTTGAAGGAGTAGAGAAGGAGACATTGGTGTAGAGAAGGAGACATTGCCTTACAAATTAAATTGAAGCCAACTTAGGAGCTCAAGTCCCATCTCACATTCAGTTGTGTTAAATATTACCATTTCAGTAGGGACCTGGGCAACTCATTTTAGAACCCTTTCAAAATTATTTGAATTCAAGATCAAGTTCAAGTGCCTCAAGAACATGTTCATCCAGAACCCTTGGGTCCTGTTATCATTGCCACCAACCAGTCTGAGTGCTTCTTATAAGTCTCTCTAACTTTGGGAGCCTTTGTTCCTCATCATTAAGAATCAGAAAAACTAAGAGATTGCGAAGGCTCCTTCCAGCAATAACATACTGTGATCTCAAATCTACTTTATCTGATTTCCCCAGCATGATCTGAAAAACAGGGCACTTCTCTTCTCCGGTGGGAGGTGCCTGACCACACAGGCTTCTGGGTGTGAGTGGAGCACTCTGCCTCTCCACCACCTGCATTCTTCTTCCTTGCCTAACATCTGCCCATAACTGTTCCCCATTGTAAGAAATTTCACAGGTTGAAATTTTTGATCATAAAGTAGCAGAGATAATTCTTATTCTCTCTTCCCCCCTCAGGCAATTATGTGCTTTCTCGTACGGGACCCTCCTCCAAGGATGTCATGCTAACTCAGTTTTCATCAACTGAATAAGACAAGGAACCATAAAATCAAGGGAAAAAATATCTGAAACAACTTGACATTTAGATCTAAATGTCAGTGGAGAAATTATATGTCAGTATTAGATGTGATTTTCTGATTTAGGAGTCTGGGAATAAAACAAAGGAGATCTCCATGGCTTTCTCTCTGCCTCCTTCATCTTCAATTAAATGAAAAGAAAATTTATTTCCATGTGGTTTGATTCAAATAAATTGCTCTGTAAATGCAGAAGAGTCGGTTTTGTTGGGAACAGTGTCAGGTGTACCATCTTGTCATGACCACAAAATGTGGTTCCCTTTTTCCTAAAATAGCATGATTCATGTGGCATTTCATATCATCTATATTGGAATACAAAAACTTTATAAAATAGCTTTAGATGAGTCAATGAGCAATCTCTTTGTTGTCAAAGGTCATTGGTGCAGTTTTGCTAGAGAAAAATTATTCCTTTTCCAAATTTTCTAGTAGGATTTCATGTTTGTTTTTGCTTTTTTAGATTCAGTCACTTAATCTGTAAAACTTAATCAGAAATAATAGGAAAATTTCCATTTTGGAGAGCTTCACAGCCATTTATCAGGAAGTATGTATAATAGCATGCTGTGATGTGTAGTGCAGTATTTTTCAGTTTATAAGGCTCTTTCGCCTGGTCCCCAACCCTGCAAAGTGCAGTGTCCAGGCAGACATGTGCAGGGTGAAGGACACGGGGTCTCGGAGAGGTGAAGTCACTTGCCAAAGACTGTGAAGGCAGTAAAGGAGAATCGGGGCTCTGTAGGATTTTTTGTTTCTAGTCTATTTCTGTAGTTCCACAAAAGCCTTGGAAATTCCCTACAATGCTGAAAAATATTTTTGAGGTTAGATATATGCTACATCACTCAGCACAGGTGAGACGCACCCCAAAACAAAAAATGCAATTGAAGAGAAAGCAGAGGAACTAGAAACTTCAGGGCAGGGATAAAGAGAGCTGCCCAGACAGCAGCTGTGGGATGGGCCTGGGCTGGACCATCAGGGGAGGTTGCTTAAGAGGAGGAAAATGACGGAGATGACTTTTTTATTAGAACATAGAAACCAAATCAACTAAAAAAAAGTATTACATCTAATAGCTGCAAAAACTATGGAGGAAAAAAAACTCAATCAAACATCCTATCTAGCTCAGCTATAAATAGAATTTACCAAGTTCCAATAATGTGAAATGATATTGATATAACCAAAATAATAAAAATATAACTATATTGAGGTGGCAGATAATAGGAAATGTATGGGAGTGGGCAAAAGAGATCTATATCTTCATTCTTTGATTTTAGAAATCAATAAACCATTCTTTGATTTTGGAAATCAAATTCTTTGGTTTTGGAAATCAGAAATCAAAGAACCATTCTTGATTTTAGAAATCACTTCTAAACTAAGAATAAACCATTCTTTGATTTTAGAAATCAATAACCATTAACTGATTTTAGAAATCAATTCTAAACCAAAGAATAAACCATTCTTTGATTTTAGAAATCAATAAACCATTCTTTGACTTTGGAAATCAAATTCTTTGGTTTTGGAAATCAAGAAACCAGGAATTAGTCATGCATTCAGAAATGTGGAAAAAATATTAAAAGAATCATCTAAATTAATTAAAACTGTCTCTAGAAGCAGGGATTACAGTTATTTGACTCAAAGCCATATCCAAGTAATTTTGGTTCAATATAAATAAATACCACGTGTGTGTGTGAATATAGTATAAGTCACCCTAAAATTAGAAGTCACTTTGATTGACTCGCTTGAATGCAGGGGCCCTGGTGCTTTCCATGATTATGTGGCACTGGTCAGCTGCTTTGGATCTTTGAGACGCTCATGAGACATTGAATTTGAGTTGTCTAATGGGCCACTGGATATGCTCATCTATTGCTCAGAGGAGGATCTGGGCTGAAGGTACACTTTTAGGGGCATCAACATAAAGATGGAACTTTAAGCCATGAGACCAGACGAGATCACTTAGCAGGTGCTGGTGGAGAAGTGAGGAGGTCCTTGGGGTGGGGAGTCCCAGTAAAGGAGAACAAGAAGGAGCAGCCAGCAAAGGGAGGCTGGCTGGGAGGGAAACCAGGAGAATCCGGTGTCCCAGAAGCTAAGGGAGGCATTTCAGGAAGGATTTCAAAGCTAGCAACTGGCTAAATACTGCAGAGTCAAGCGAGATGACACCTCTGACCTGACTATGTGAGTTTGAAATGTGAAGGTCATGGATATATTAATATTAATATCATAGGCACTCGGACTAAGAAATTCCACTATTGGAAAACTTCACATTGTAAACATAGAATCAGGATGTCTAGATTTTGCATAACACTGTATTGAATAAACTTTTTTAGATTAATAAATAGCTATTGTAGAAAGATAAATTTTCTCCATTTCCCTGATGCTTCCAGAACAAATGCAGAGGCTGAGAGGTGGTCACGCTGTAGCACGCAGAACATTTGCAGACTGGCATATATGTTTGTAAAAGTCTCACCTCCATTTCCTTTCAAGTATTCTGTAGGAAGACAACTTGCCTTTCACAAGAAGGCAGCAGGGCTGGACTGTACTTACCCTTACCAGACTTAAGGGGGCAGGCTCCGACCAAAAAAGAAATCTCAGACAACTTGCTCAAAGCTTAAATACACCTAGGAGACTCATTGTAGAATTTGAGGGTATGAAAAGCATTTTAATCCCACTACTCTAATCAGGAACAGTTTGCATTGTTGCTGCTATGTTTTGTATAATAAAAGAGATTAGGGAGCTAACAACATAATAGCTGGGTTTCCGGATGGCAAACAATGGCTCTGTTTCCTGGGTTTATGCCCAAGTGTGCTGCTGAACAGTGAAGGCTGCTTTGCTAATCAAAGAAGGAATTAGCTACGGGTGGCACAGGATTTTTCCCTGCCAGAAAAACAGTGTTTTCTTTATATTTTGTCTGTATGTACGAAATATATCTTGGGCACGTTGGCCAAATACAGAGTTAATTTGATTGATTGATTGATTGATTGATTGAGACAGGGTCTTGCTGTGTCACGCCAGCTGGAATGCAGCAGTGCGATTATAGCTCACTGCAAACCTCAAACTCCTGGGCTGCCTCAGCCTCCTGCGTAGCTGGGAAGACAGGTGTGAGCCGCCACGTCTCTCCAGAGTTAATTGTAGTATGTGGTACCAAATAGATTGAGAGGCTTCTGTGCTTTTTGAACTCGTCTCTTATTTGGGGAAGAAATAGTTTGGAAACTTTTATATAGTTTCATCATACTGGAGCCCCACTTTTGTAGATGAATTACCCAGACTCTTTACAGATTTCATTTCATACTCAAGGTCTTAGGGTGGAGGGAACAAAACCAAATGAACAAACATAACAGAGCCGCTGGCATCTTGCCTGCCCATCAGGGATTTAGCAGATCCTCAAGGTCTGGCCCGGGAAGATCAGGGCTGCTTTGCAGTTAACTCCTCAGTCCTCACCCTGCGGCCCAGGCTGGGCTTAGCGAGCTCACCTTGTTCAAAGGTGATCCCTGCCTGACTTCAACTCATGTTTTATTAATCGACATGCATTCCTTTAGGATAAAAATTGGACCCCAAAGCTTTCTTTTAAAAGCATAACATTCCTGACTCCAAACCATGGGGTAATTTTTCTAGATACTTTACATCACGTTCTCCTGGTAACCTGGGCAAGGGTTGGGGTCCTAGAGATGGGGAAAAGAACTAAGAGCGGGAGAGATGGGGCGGAGCCCCGGAGTTCCCTGCTTCCCACTCTTGTCCCACAAGGCGTCCATGCTTCTCCTGGCTGGATCCCAACCCAACGCGCCTCACTACATTCCCCAGCTTGGCTCTTGGGGGTAGCGTGGAGGCTTCTTTCTAGGACAGGGACTCCTTGGGAGGCCCTGACGCCAGCTTATCCCTGCTGTCTCTCTGCATTTCATTATCCCATCTGTAGAACCATGAATGTGTGCCCTGTAGATAAGATCAAAGGTCCCTTCTACCCCTGCTTTTCTATAATTCTGGGTCTTTTCATAGGTCATACCCTGGGAGAGAAGAAATTTATCACCAAAGAGAACAGCCCAAGTGGGTCTGGCGAGACCTTATCTGGCTGGGTAGGAGTTGTGGATAAAGCATTGCCAACACAGAGAGACCTGATGCCAACCTAACAGAGGCAACACCCCTTTGGAATTCTGACCGATGCTTGAAACCAGCGCAGAGGAGGCCCTCGGTGTGATGTGCTGCCAAGGGACACACTGCTTTTGTGGATAAGGTTTCCTGGTGCTTAGATCTCAGCCCTATCCCTCAACAGGACATGGGCAAGGCAGCTGTGAATTCCATGACTACACACAGCTGGGCACTGCCAAGGATAACTCCTTGCTGCATGAAAACTTCGCCTGGTGCCGGTGATAATGTGACTCTGTTTTCCTGAGGTAGCCTGGCAGGAGAACCAACCCCATCTGTCCTTTATTTCACCTGTTTGTGGTAAATGTTCAGCCCTGTCCCTCCCCACAGCTAATTAAAAAAAAAAAAAAGAAAAGAAGAAGTTCCATTTGTGGAATTGCTTCTAGAACTTCCGTCGACAGTTCTTTCCCTCTTAAAGTCTGCAGCAGTGTGAGTTGCTCATGACCTGCTTTTGCTTAGACTAGAGAAAGAGTCTTGAAGCGTAGCCTCCAAACAGCAGAAGCAGCAGTGTCACCTAGAACTTGCTAGAAATGCCAGTTCTTCTGAATCAGACACTCTGGAGTGGGCCCCAGGGACCTGTGTTTCGGCAAGCCCTTCAGGTGACCCTGACACATGCCGGTGTTTGGGAACCGCTGATGGAGAGATTCCAGAAAGGGAATGTTAGAGATGGAGGCTGGAGGGGAGGGTGGGCTCTGAAGTCTCCCTCCTGTGGGAGGGGAGAGGGATGGGCGGGGACGTCTTCGGTTTTGCTTTCTGTGGTCACTACTTCTGTGAGCCTCAACCATCAAAGTTATCTTGAGCAGAGGAATGATTAATGTTGCATGGCAGTATTCTGGGCAATGTCATATAATGGTTAAAAAAGAAATAGTTTTGAGGCCTAGCTTCAACGCTTATTATACTAAGCATATTAACTTGGTTATGTTACCAAATCTTGGCTACTCCATGTGCAAAGCACTTGCTGGGAGTACGTAAGAGAAGCCTGAA